TTTTTTTTTTTTTTTCCTCTCTTTTGTACAAAATATTCGCTCACGAGCTCGCGGGATTAAAAAATAAAAATACCGGATAAGTTTAATTTATGAAATAAAATACTAATAATAATAATAATAAAAAAAAAAAATAATTCAAGTACTTCTCGTGTTTGTTTTCCGAGGACAAAAAAACAAGGCAGAAGAAAGGAAGAGAAAACAAACCCCCCGAACATCTTTCTTTTATTTAGTTGCATTTTAGAAAAGACTCGTGTCCCCAAACGCTTGCTGTGTTTGCCTCTAATGCTAAACATTCATCCGCACATTCAAAGTCAGAAACATTTCAACCCCCAAAAACAGCCTCTTTTTTTTTCCTCTTTTTTTTTTCTTTTTTTTTTTTCTTTTTTTTGTTTTTTTTTGTCTCTCCACCCTCGTTTCTCATTGACTGGACTTTGCCAACTTTATTGCTGTTCTTTATCGGTTTTTTCTTTATTCATTTTCTTCATTTTCATTCGCCTGTTCTGAAACCAGATTTTGACTTGGCGTTCAGTGAGATTAAGGACTCTGGCTACTTCGTACCTCCGGTCCCGTGTAAGGTACATATTGAATAAAAACTCTTTTTCCAGTTCCAGGGTCTGATACTTTGTGTAAGGACATCTTTTCTTCCTCGTGGAGCGCGCATGAATCCAATTTGCGACGGGATTGTCTGAGAAAGAAGATTTTTATATTTTTTTGGGGGGGGGGGGGGGGGAAAAAAAAATCAATGTATACAGCTGGCCTTCCTTCCCTCCCCCCCTCCACACCCTGGTGTATCTAGAGACAGAAACCTGTTTAATTAGCAGATCTTACCTAAATATTTTAAGTGACCTTCAGGAGAGTTTAATCTGTTTATTCTGGAGGGGTCATTTCCTTTTCTTTTGCTGCTGTTCTCACATAAAAGTTTCAGTAAATGAAACTCTAGCAATGGGTTTAAAATAATAATTATCCACATGACTGCTGCTAGCAGTAATCTAAGAACATAGTCATAAAAAGTCAAAATTCCCACCATTTCATAGGCCCATAAACTCTTTTTACAACCTCAGCTCTCCAATGCTTCCCCCTAGAAGCTTTCCCAGACCTGGAAAGCGGAGTTTGTTTTTTTAATATCTTAAGGATGACACGCGAGATGTCCCACTGGCTCCGAGAAATTGGCTTTTTTTTGGGGTGGGGTTTTTTTTTTTTTCCCCTACTTTTCCCCCTGCCCTAAAGGACCTTCCTCGCTGCTGCCGCGGCCCCGCTGGCTCAGGGGGAGCAGCTTTTCCCCCCTCTGCCCTTCTCGGGCGGCCAAGGGAGACTTTTCACCCCCCGGTTCCTCGACTTATTTTTATCACGAGGGTGCCTGGCAGCGGCCCTCCCGTCATAAATAGAGGCGGCAGCGCCTTGGCAGAGGGAGACGAGCGAGATTTGGAGGCACCAAAGGTGCTGCCGGGGCCGTCCCGCAGCCGCCGAGCTCGGCGAGCCCCCCTCAGCTTTAGGCCGGGGGGGTCCCAGCAGAGCCCGCCCGGGGCTGCGGGTTGTGCGGGACCCACCGGCAGCTCCCGCAGCATCCCCCGTGGGTGCTCAGCTCCTCTCCGGGACGCTCCGGGGAGGAAAAGGGGGCGGCTCGGCCGCGTTTTTTGGACCTCCTTTCCTGCGGGTCCCCTCTGCGGGGCTGGGGTGCTGCAGGGCGAGGGGGAGGGGGGTGCTGGTGGTCGTTACCTGGCTCCTCGCCCTGCAGTGTTCAAGGTTTCCCCGATGGCCGGCTCGGGGGTTTTGGGGGGGGGGTTTTTAGGGTGTTTTTTCTTTTTTAGTTCCACCCCTCCCTCTCTCGCTGGGGCTGCGGAAGATGTTTCCTCAAGTGTATGGTCCAATGTCCTGCGCTCGCTGCCTCCTGCCCTCAGCTGCCTCCACACACTCAGTTTACGCCTTTACAATTCCAATTTTCCTCCCTGCTACTCCCCTGCACCCCCACCCCCGGCCCCCCGCCCAGGGCACCCACCTTCTCCTTTATTCCCACGTGTAGGAGCATTTTATGAATAACTGCACCGGTGGAGCTTTTATTGATTTTTAAAATAGATAAAGAGACACCTCTGCGTTCATCCAGAGATGTTCCCTTCCCCTCCCTAAAAAAAAAAACCCCCCACATCAGTACGTTCACTTCCAGCCATCTACAACTCTTCCTCGCCCTTTGAAAGTGGAAATATTTGAAAGCAAAGAGGCTTCTCCCTCTGCCTACCCCCTCTCGCTCCCTCTCACACACGCACTCTCTTTCTCTATTAGTTGTTGTTTTTTTTTTTTTAATTCCCCCCGGTGGAAGGTGATGAATATTTGATCAAAGCGGCCAACAGCCCCCCCACTGGAAACAACAAAAAAAAAAAAAAAGAGAGAAAAAAAAAGAGGGAAAAAAAAAAAAAAAAAAGAAGGGGGGGGAAAAAAAAGGGGAGAATAAAGAAAAAAATCCTAAAGAGCCCGAAACAAAGTAGAGAGATTCGCTCTCCGGCTCTGCTAGGCGGACTCGCTCAAACCCCCAGATCTTCCTGCGTATCTGGAGTTTTAGGGTCGGGCTCTCTAAGGTAATTTCATTTTATTGAGTAGGGTCCTGGAAGCCGTAATGCCTTCCCCGGTCGTAAACAAGAATGACTTCGACTTACTAGGGTCTAATTCGTGCTTTTCTTCTTTGTGTTTGCTGGAAGCGATGGCTTCGGACTCCGGGGAAGGAATTGTCTGCGCGGCTCTGTCTCTCAGCTCCCCGGCAGCCCCGTACATGTAGTCCGCGTAGCCGCGGCCGTCGGCGGGGCCGCAGTCCCGGCGCCCCGGGAACGCGTCGGGCTTCAGGCCGTAGGGGCGAGCCCCGGGGGCGAAGGCCGGGAACGAGACGGCCCCGGCCAGGGGCTCCAGCCAAGTCCGCATGTACCTGGGCTCGGCCCCCACGGGCGCCTGGGGAGCGTAGGGGTGGTAGCCCACGGAGGACTGGGAGTGCACGGGAGCCCAGGAGGTGGTGAAAACGGCCGGCTTGGGGGCGAAACTGCAGGACGGAAAGTCGGCACAGTCCGGGACTAATCCTGACGGTCGGGCGGCAGCCGGGTGGGCGGCAGAGCCGGGGAACCTGGAGGCCAAGAGCTCTTCGTTCTCGTGGCTTATCAAGGAGTCAACATAGTAGTTGCTTATGGGGCCAGAAGCCGACATGGTTCCCCCCTCTTTTACATTCATAAGATTATTGTATGAACTGTATGTGTACTTTTTATCTGCTCATAGAACAATCAGGGCAGGTAATTATTTTTTCAGCCTTTCCCACTGTTCCATTGGCTGCCGCCCTCACGTGATTGTATTTACCCAAAAATATCGCCTGGATCAATCCGCAGGGCTTTTTTTTTTTTTTTTTTTTTTTTTTCTTTCCCTCCTTCCCTATCTTTTTTTTTTTTTTTTTTTTTTTTTTTTCCTCTCCTTTCCCCTTAATCTAATAACGCCGCCCGGCTTTTCCTAAAAGCGCTGGAAATGGGGCGGAGATGGGGAGGAGGGATGCTCGGCTGCTCTCCGCGGCCGGGGGATGCTCAGCCCGCGGGCTGGGAGGGGGGGACATTTACCCTGATGCTTAAGAGAAGGTGGAAGGTAATTGTGGAAGGTAGCCCAGGAACTATTTCTTGACGTAATTTATCTCTGTCCTTTTCCTCCCGCAGCCTCCAGCCTCTAATGGATACATTAAATTGAATATCGGTGAGAAGGGGAGAGGGGAGAAGTGCGGTGGAGGTGGGATCCCCACCCGGAGGAAGGAGCTGGGGAGGGGAGGGGAAGGAGGGGGGGGGGGAGAAGCTCGGAGCCTAAAAGCAAAGGGGCTTTTGTCATCTTTTGCAGCGCTGTCTCCTCGTCAGGCTGCTCAGCAGCTGAGAGGACTGTGGGGCACAGGCTCATCTCGTCCTGCTTTAAGGAATAAGTATCTTTAGGAAGAGGGGAAAAAAAAAATATATATATCTCTATAATACGAGGAGCATCTTTAAAAAGAGGAGGGGGAAGAATAATAATACCCCCCCCCCCCAAAAAAAAAAAAAAAAAAAAAAAAGAAAAAGAAAGAAAGAAAGAAAGAGAGAGAGCCTGAGCTTTTACACTGCAAGGCTGCGTTATCCGGCGAGTAGTCGTGGATGTTTTTATGTCCTTCAATAAAATTTTTACGAGGATCATTTGATTGTTCATAAATGTGTCGTTCATTAAATAAAACCGTAGGACTGAGTTTCAGCTCTCGGGCTGGGGATGAGAGAGAGCTTTTGGTATCAGGAGGAAGCAACAATGTGTGTTGGGCACATGATCTTTCTGGTTTGGGGTTTTTTTTTCCCTTTTTTTTTTTTCTTTTTGAGTAACGCCTGGAAACTTTTCTTTTTGCGCCAAACCGAGTGAAGAAGTTGGGAGCGTTAAAAAATCGGTGGTAGCCTGCCTGCATTTTGAGAGAATAACCTTTCCTTTGTAAGGAAAGACAGGTAGGTAAAGAGCTCACGCCCATTGGAGTCTCCAAGAAGGGGCTTAAGCGATTTCTTCGGCAGAAAAAAAGAAATTAAAATCCCTAACAAAAAAATAATAACCTCTCATGATTATTTATTTATTTATTTACTTATTTATTTAGTTTAGAAACAGAACATCCCCCCCCCCCCCCTCCCCAAAAATGGCTTGTCTGGGCTCTCCAAGGCTCCCCATCACCTCGGGGTTTCCTGAGGCTCAGAGGACGTGCAGGGAAATGGTCAGAATTGGAAAGCAGGAGGCAAAGTGTGGGCTCAGAAAGCGCTCAGAGGCGGGCAGGGGGTGGGCAGGGTGTCCCCAGTGATGCGGTGTCACCGTTGACAGTCACCCTGCACAGCCTGGACAAGACCCAGGGACCGACCCGGCACAAACCTTTCCAGTTCTCACTCATTTATTTGGGGTTTTGGTTGTTTGTTGGGTGGGTTGGTTTTTTTTTTTTCTCTCTCGGTGAGTTGCACGAGAAACGCGAGCGAGGAGGAGGAAAGGGACGGAGGCAGATTCGAGGAAAAACAGGGCAAAAAGAGGCGGTGGTGGTGCCAGGAGATACCTCCCCCCCTTTCTCCCCAGCCCCTCCAGACTCCCCCCCCGAGCTGAGCCGGGGTAGAACCCGCACCTCGACCCGCAGAGCCCGAGCGAGTCAAAGAAATGGATGCACGAGGCTGCCCTCGCTGCTGGGGGAAGGAAGGATTTCCCTCGCGAAAAACAGGGAAGGCTTTCGAATAAAAATACGACGGGACGTGTTTGTCAAGGGACTCCGGATTTTCCAAATTCGAAAAGACATCGGCTCGCTCTGCCCCCCCGCGCCCCCCCGAATTTATCCCTCATTCCGTTTTAAGTCTCCTGCTTTATGTGAGCCCTTAAAGGGAAATATTCCTGCAGGAACAGAACGTCTTTTCGGCCTTTATCGAGGCCAATTTATCTGTCAATCACCAGTCTCCAATGATGGTTATTTTTATGTTCGCGAGGGGAAAAAATATATATATATACCCGCTCATCATTCTTTTATCTATTCCCATTTTAAAAATACTTACTCTGCAGGGCTGCTAATCGAGTGGGCTGTGACGTGTGGAGGGGGAAAAGCCGCCTGGCTTTTCCACTTTGGTGGAATATTTTAAAGGGAATCCTGACAAAAACAAGGGTTGTCCGCACCAGCAGAAGGGGAGAGGGAGAAATTAAAAAGAGGCAGAGAAGGAGAAAGAGAGAGAGAGAGAGAAAGGAAGGAAGGACTGAGCCCTCAGAGGGAGAGAAGCACTGAGAAGCAGTGGGGAGGTTTAACCAGAGGGGAAAAATATAGCAATAATGTCAGAATACACCGCAGACAAACCGCAGGACGAGCAGGAATTATCAAAGCCACGCAGCTCTAATAAGTAGCAGGGGTTTTTGTAACCTTAACGCGGGCAGGCAAGGTCACCAAATTAGTCGTGGATGGCGCAATGTTGGTGTCACACAAAGGCAAACGTATCTGGCCAAGATTTCTTCCATTTGCAGGGAAACCTGCAGCACGCGGAATTATCCACCCCCCGCGCTGCCGTGGGACGGGAAATCACAGGAAAAGCGGCTCGGGTTTGCGGCACAAACCCCCCTTTCACTCGGGGGCTGCCGAGAATTGAGCAGCACAAAGCAGAGACGGAGCCACTTCACCTTAAAGCGCGTTAAAGACGCGGCTTAAAGAACTAAAGCCACGGGCTGAGACCAAAGCCACGGCTCGAGGCTCAAGACGCGGTTCAGGACAACGTTTTTCCCCCCCCCCCCGCGTTTCGCCGCCGAATCCCCCCCAAGGCGATGTGAACCCCCAGAAAACGTAACGCCGTGTGAACCCCCCCCCCAAAATATTGTCCTTTCACGCTCGTCTCGCCGTGAAACCATCCCCATGGACGAAGGCAAAGTCACGCGGAGAAAAGTCCCCTCCGGGCGCGGGGGCAAAGAGAAGCAACATCCCGAAATATTCTTCTTTTCAGCAGCAATATCCAGCCTGGAATTGGATCACGCCTGGCTATTGAATTCGGCGGCTGCAAGGTTGTCTCGCAGCTTTTCTGCGCGCTCCAGCCACACTCCTGTGCCTCCCCAGCAGCTTCGGGACTTGTTTAATGGGAGATTACCTCTGCTGAAATGATGGTGAACTATCGCATCCCTTCCAGGCAGACTCATATCATTTCCTCTCACCTCCCCTTTTGAACGTGCGGGGGGGAAAAAGAAACTTTAACTTGCACCGAGCGAAACTAAACCCTGGCAGCTCCACGAGCTGCGTGAGTATTTAGATTTATTATTTCCTGGTGAAGGGGGGGGGGGGGAAAATCATAAAAAAAAAAAAAAAATAAAAAAAAAAAAAAAAGAAAAGAAAGGAAAGGAAGAAAGTCGGGTCTCGAATTAGGAGGTTACAGAAAATGAAGCCTTTGTCTGAGCACTGTCCTGGCTGGTTGACTTCTGACACCTTTTCGGAGCTAAATGCTGCCCGTGTTCGCCCTTGTCCCTGCAAGTGCTCTGCGTGCTCAGCCCGAGCTGCCTCCCTTCCCTGTCCTGCGGGCGCAGCCAGGCTCTTCCCCTGCACTTCCAAACCTTTCTTTGCTTTCGTTTTGGGAGATTCTCCCCCGACTGGAAGGAACGGAGACAAAAAATAACCCTAATGGAAAGAA